TGCCTATGCCTTGGGGCCACTAGGAGGAAAATCAGGGTTTCTGAACACAAGTGCTGTGCTAATTGTGTCAACACTTGGCCTGAGAACTCAGACGGCAGTACAGAGACTCCTGCTCAGGTAGTGCAGTAAGTGTGCCTGTCCCCCGGAGTAGGGCCGGGTGTGTGCCCTGGGTGGTCTGAGACACGGTGTGGGGCAGCGTGAGATTAAAATTTACAGTTTATCGGTAGAATTTTCTATTTAGTATTGTTGGCACACAGTTGACCTTGGGTAACTGAAATCCTGAAAAGAGTGACACTGCAGTGCTCCCTCACCTGTGAGTTCAGAGAGCGAATGTGCTTCATGGCTTTAGATCTGAAAGACAAGTTTCAGGGATAAATCCGGTCAGCAGGGCCCAGTGGTGAGTTCATGTCTTTTTGGGACAGGATCACACTATGTGGTTCTGGCTGGCCTTGAGCGTGAGCTTTGTAGTTCAGGCTGGTCTCGAACTCTCAACAATCCTCCTACCTCAGCCTCCCAAGTGCTGGGATTATAGGCGTGCACCACCAGGCCCAGCTGGAACACATATTTTAAAAAGAAAATATATTTCATCATCATTAGGTGCTGTTTTCTGCCTTCCCTAATATTCCCAGTAAGAAGAAAGAGATAAAGGGAGAGAGAAAAAGGGGAAGAAAGGAGGTGGGGAGAAAGGGGAAGGGGAAGGGGAGGGGAAGGAGGGGTGAGAAAGATGGCTTCGGGTTTCCATAGCGTGCAGGGAATGCGCCTAAAGGGATCTGCTTAACGTTTTTCTTGGGCCTCTGGGGCGTGGGAAGCTTTAAAGTGCGTTTTCCTTCCTGGCCTTTGAAGAAGGCAGCTCAGGTGTGCGGCCGCGCTCACCACCTCCCCCAGCCGTGAGCACACCCGGACCTTGCCCGGCTTCTCCCCGATGCCAGGGAGGCTCTTGGCCAACGCCGATGCCTCCCTTCAGCCATCCGGCTTACTGGGAACTGAGAGATCTGCGCGTCCTGGAGAAAGATTTTCTTACAAAACAGCTTCTCTCCAAACCCAGTTGCTCCATAGATGTGTTTTCCCTTTTCTGAGTAAGGGCCTGTTTTCCTGAGTGGCCAGGCGTTCGGCAAGCAAACAGCTTTGGCCGGGACAGGTCGTTTTGCTCTCTGCTCTCCAACTCCCTCCGGTGACTCGAAGGAGGAGACCTGATAGCCCGGGGTGCGGTTTCACCCTCCCGGCCTCGGAGGGCGCCTGGTCATGCCAGGAAAAAGGAGGAAAGAGAAAGGGCAGGCGGCCTTGGCCTCGGTGGGTGAAGTCCTGCCATGAGGGTGGCGACACCTTCTCACACGACCTCAGGGAACATGCTGGGCTCCCAGCTGCTGGTCACGGAGCTGGGGGTAGGAGGTGACCTCTTTATTTTTAGAAGGGAGCTGTCATTATAGTCCTGGCCTGCGCTTCATTCACTGCAGCGAGCAAACGCGGGCTGTGGGAGTTGTAAACAGCTTTCTGCGTAAAGAAGGAGCGCTTTTTTTCCAAAAAGGATAGACCTTTATTGCTGGGGCTCCCCCCCGCCCCCGATACTCGGGTATCGTGGGAGACTCTGCTGTTTGAAATCCTTAGTGGGGCAGGCAGGTGCGACAGCTGTCTGCACTGCTGGTATTTTTAAGGGGCAGAAATGCCTGAAGGTGAAGACCTCGGACCAGGCAAAAGGTAATTACAATATGCTTTTTCTGGATTCTGTATCATTTGGCAGTTTAAATGTTGAATTAAAAGTAACTTAAATTTAAAAATTAAAATTTGGACTATCATTCCTTAATTCTAAGAAGCTGTGAAGTTTTTCTCACAGACTAGCCAAAGACAGAATGAATTTATGTACTCTTTCTTAGAAACATGCTGAGAAGCATTTTTCTTGACTAAGGAATTGATGATCTGAATTATTTTAAAAATGTTTCTCATGTACAAGATAAAAATCTATTTGAAATTTTTGATGTTTCCTTTTTAATGAAAATCCTTAAAACTAGATTGGAAATCCAATCTGTTAGAAATCTAAACTCATGAATAGTTTTAAAAATGGTTGGATTTTTGCCAAGCTTCTCAAGAGGGTAAATATTGGGCTAGTAGAGCAGTTTTAATATTTGAAAATTTTTTTAACCGTAGATGATATCTTTGTAAGTGATCAGCGAGGGCCCTTGTGCATGACAGTAGCTGTGTCAGTGTTTGGATTAGCGACTGGGCCGGGAATCGGGCGCGGAGGGCGAGGGTGGGCCGGCGGGCGGGCGGGCGGGGGCTTCCTGCGAGGCTGCTCGCTGCTGCTCGCTGCTGGCAGTGCGGTCGGGCCGCCGGCCGCGCTCTGCAGAAGCAAAAGGAAGCTATTAAGCGCGAAGAAAAGGGTTCACTGATCATTACCAAAGAAAGTAGAAACTGATAGCTTAAGGAAGAAGAGACTCACAAGCACGTGGTGATATGATGTGGCTTGCGCGTGAGGGTTGTAACGAATTGCAGCAGTGTTCCCAGACGTTTCCACTCTCTGGAGCACTCTAGTTTTTAGCTTCTTCTAAATTCCTTTCTAGTACACGAAAAGGGACGTTGCTGTGCCATGTAACTGAACAGCTTTCTCCATAAAGTGCGTTATCCAGTATGTGTCTGGAGGGGCCTGTGGGTTAGCCAGGGAGGAAAACACTTTCAAAGTTTCAAATGTCAGCTTTGGTTTGGAGCTGCCTGGCCCGTCTCTGCTGCCATGCGTCGTGCCCTCCCTGAACATCTCGCCTTCTCTGAAACACGGCTTTTTTTTTTTTTTTTTTTTTCCTGGTAGCACCAAAGCATAAAATCTTGCCCAGAATCGGCCTTTATAACAGATCCCTGCTGTATGGAATGGAATGTATGGACGAGCCATTTTACACGGGCAGTGTCTGGGGGCCTCGGCATTCGAGGGCAGAGGGGGAGAGACCTGGCAGAAAGCTAACCATTGCTTTAATGGAATACAGCGTTAGAATGAAATTACACAGTATTTTATTGCTCGTGATAAATGTTTTGAGGGAGCTGTTTGTGATGTCCGCTGTAGACATGTTTCTTTTACTAGGAATGTTTTACTTAAGAAGGATAAACAGAAACACAAACGTATGTACTGATCGAGACTATATATTTGTGCACAGGTATAACTACTGTATTTCACACACATGTGCTAGCAGTTAGTAGGAGAGTATTATGGTTGACCGGAAGTGGAAACACTCACTCCTGTGAGGTAGCACGCCTCTGCCCCCTGTTCTTTATTTTGATGAGATACTTCTCAGTTCTTGACAGTTGGTGGTTTTCATACATAGCTTTTCCCCCTTTGTTTGTTCCTTATCTGTACAAAAAGAAACAACATCCTGGATGGGGGAAAGTTTAGAGCTAGACTGGAAATAAAATATTTACAATGAGGAGAAAATGTTCCTCTTGCTAAATTTGAGATAAGATGTCTCTGGTCCCACCTGTTAGTCTATGTCTAAAAAAGAAAGGACCATTTTAAGTCATGAACCTGCTGACCAGATGTGTTCTTGGAGCGCACTGCAGCAGCTCTGAGTCTCACAATAGGACGTATTCATGTTTTTTGAGTCCTGTTTCAAAATTTGCTTTCCTGGGTTGCTCTGTAACTTGGCAGTGAGCTGAATCTGAGTTTGGTCCTAAAGATGAACTGAGTGGAACAGAATGAGGGGCAGCCTCACCGTGGTGCCAGCTCAGCGCCTGCCTCTCCAGGCGCCTGCTGCTCTACGCTCTCATGGTCTAGGAGCCCCAAGGCACCTCTTGGGCCCACCAGATGGACACCAGTGACCACAAGGGCCTGGACACTGGGCAGGCAGCGGGAGACGCTCCTCCCTGTGTGTGCCCTTCTCGGTAGGGAGACTCTAGGGAAAAACCTGAAGACTCTGGGCCCCTCTGAAGGTCAAGAGCTGAAGGAAGAGGCCAAGAAAGCCATCCTGAGGCAGCCCTGGGAGGCACGGCCCTTCCAGGAAGCAGCAGGTGCCAAACGAAGAGGGGGAGGGGCAGGAGACAAGGAAGAAATGAGGGCAGTGACTGGGGAAGTGGAACAGATGAAGGCACTTGAGTGGGATGACCCCTGGCCCAAGGCCCGCCTCACAGTGGCTCCATATCCATGCTCACTGAGGATCCTGCCTAGAGCAGCACCCCAAGAGACCTGCACAGGTGTGGGCGGGGGTGTGGGCAGTGGGACATTGCCTGGTGCGGTGGTCACAGTGGGAGATGGACACTGGAGTCGGGACTGAGCTCTAAAGGCGGCTTGTCCTGATAGCACTGCTGGCGAATGGTTATGTTCATGCCTTCAGTGGTTCGCTCCGGAAGTCTTTATCAGTTCGGAATGGAAGCCGATGGCTGGGCCAGGGGCCAGCGTGATCACTGGGCCCCAGCTGTCACAGAGCAGGCAGCGTGTGCAGGGGAGACAGCCCCCAGGTGAACAGCAAAGGACACAGTGGAAACGTGGTGGAGTGCTGCAAGCTGCATGCACGCTAGGGGAGCAGAGGGCTGGCGCTCGGAGTCCTCACGCCTCAGGCTCCCAGGTGCCAGGACTCATCAGATCGAGGACTTAGCAGGCTGTTTGCCAAGGCCAGTGCACAGCCAAGACCCTGCTCCAGGACCTTTGCGGGGTTGCTCTGACCTGGAGCCCTGAGGCGGTCTGTGACCCTGAGTATTTCTTCTCTCCAACTCTTGGAACCAGACATCCTTTGGACTGTACAGTTTTTCAGAATTTAGGATACTTGTACATGTTTTGGGATAGCACCCAAGTGTAAGCATGCGATTCCCTTGTGTTTCATGTACATTTTCTGCACATAGCCCAGAGATAACTTTGTACAATATTTTTATTATTTTATTTATTTGGTGGAACTGGGGATTGAACTCAGGCCCTTGCACTTGCCAGGGAAGTGCTTATTCTGCTGAGCCATCTCCCCGGCCATGTACAATATTTTTAGTATGCTTGTGTTTTGACTGTGGCTTGTGACTTAGGTCACTGTGGAAATTTCCCCTTGTGATTTCAAGTTGGCAGAAGTTTTCAGTTTGGAGCCTTTTATATTTCTGGGGTTCAGATTGATGTGCTCAGCTTGCACTTGTGTCTAAATATACAAAAGGTTACTGTATTTAAGAAAATTAAAGCTCTTGTAAAACACGGTGGTCTGCTTAGCATTTGGAAATACTTTTAGTAGTTGCACTGAATTTTATTCTTGAAAGGTTTAAAAGATACCGACTTAAATGTATTTTTAAATTCAGGTGTTTCTGTAGCTTACTAGGTTTAACTTTACGTTGTAGGTAAGGCCCGTCCTTTGGTAATACCATTTCTTTGAAATATGAGGCGAATTGGCGAAGCACTTGGCGTAGAGGTAACAGGGGCCCTTGGCTGCCACTTCTTCACCTTGACAGCAGTCCAGGCGGGTTGTTATGAGCCAGCGTTTCAGCTCTGGTGTGCTTAAAAAAGTGTTCATACTGTCCTTGGTTTGAAAATTAACATAGAGCACGAAATAAGCTGAGTTCACACAGCCTTTAAGTGGAGGCGCTGTGGTGGGGTGCTGGGGGGCTGGGCAGCCAGCTGCCAGTGGAGCCTGTGTGAGTTCTCCATGTGTGCGGGGGCCACGGCGTGGCGCTGACGTCTGGGGGAGAGCCCGGTGGGCTCGGAAGTGTCAGTGCGTTAGGGCACAGGAGGTGAGAGCGTGTGCGAGGAGTGCAGGGGCACCCCATTGGGCTGGGAAGGGGGGTGTGCTTGCTCTGCAAGCCGTGCTCTGCAGCATTTACTGAGCCTGTGCTGCGCAGTTGCATGCGGTCACTTTCAGGCCACTCCTGTCAGGTCGCCCGAACCCAGAGTTACAACGGTGGCTCTGCTGAGCCTACGAGGGCCGGCCCCAGTGTGCAGGAGGCCGCAGCCGGGAGAAAAGCCACACACAGTTCTAACAGTGCCGCTTCCTCCTCCCTGATGTGTCCCGAGACTGCCATAGACATTCCATGAAGGGTTATTGACAGAATTAATAATTAATTTTCTTCCACTCTCCCACACAGTCATGGAAAATGTCTACCAGGCATGGAAAATGTTTATCACCTTTAAAATCCTCCCTGGAGCCAGCTGGGCTAATATTTGTAGCTGACTGAGAACATGGAGAGCCGTGCAGTCTGCCCCTGCGGTGAGGGCTGTGGTGTCGCAGGGGACACCTTAGCCGCTACGTCACAGGCAGCGGCTTCCTCACGCTGCACCTCCCAAGATTCCCCAGTTAACGATGACTTCAGCTCTGTAAACACAAAGTGACTAATTCTTTGCTACCTTTCCTAAAATGTGACAGAGCTCTGTGGTTTTCGGTGCCAGCTGGTACACGGTGGGCTATGAATAGGGCCGTCCCTGGTGATTAACAGAGCACGGGCTTGTTGTGCGGCTCTGCCCTTACTCCTGTCTTTTGTCCCTTTGTGGCAAGCTTGGGGCCTAGATCCATTTGTGTGTCTCGCTTCCCTCCGACCCGTGCTGGCCTGGGACCTGGAGGTATGCGGCAAAAGGCTGTCCTCAGGTCTCGGATGTTGTCATTCCCATAGTTTAAAAATAACATCCCACCAAACAGTTTTCCCGCTAAACTGTGTTATAACTGTCCATTTGGAAAGATACAAATGTTGTTAGGGTACGTGAATAAAGCAGAAAAATATCAATTACGATCTTTGTATCTTAGAAATAATTGTTGTCTTCT